CACAGAAACTCTACAGGCCAGAAGGGAGTGGCACAGTACATGTAAAGTGATGCAAGGGGAAAAACTTACGACCAAGAATACTCAATCCAGCAAGGCCCTCATTCATACTTGATGAAGAAATCAAAAGCTTCACAGATAAATAAAAGCTGAAAGAATTCAGCACCACCAAACTAACTTTACAACAAATGTTAAAGGAACTTCTCCAGTCATCAAACCACAAGAAAAGAGAACAAAAAGAAGAGAGAGAAAAAAAGACCTACAAAAACAAACCCCAAACAATTAACAAAATGGCAATAAGAATGTAAGTATCAATAATTACCTTAAATGTAAATGGATTAAATTCTCCAACCAAAAGACACAGACTGGCTGAATGGATACAAAAATAAGACCCATATAACATGCTGTCTACCAGAGACCAACTTCAGAGCTAGAGACACATACGGGCTGAAAATGATGGGATAGAAAAATATATTCCATGCAAACAGAAACCAAGAGAAAGCTGGAGTAGCAATACTTATATCAGACAAAATAGATTTTAACATAAAGACTGTTACAAGAGACAAAGAAGGACCCTAGATAATGCTCAAGGGATCAATCCAAGAAGATATAGCAATTGTAAATATATATATGCACCTAACTTAGGAGCATCTCAATATATAAGGCAATTATTAACAGACATAAAAGGAGACATCAACAATAACACGATAACAGTGGGGGACCTTAACACCCCAATTACATCAATGGACAGATCATCCAGACAGAAAATCAATAAGGAAATACAGGCCTTAAATAACATATTAGATCACATGGACTTAATTGATATCTATAGAGCATTCCATTCAAAAGCAACAGAATACACATTCTTCTCAAGTACACATGGAACATTCTCCAGAATCGACCACATGCTGGCCCACAAAGCTAGCCTCAGTAAATTTAAGAAAACTGAAATCATACCAAGCATCTGTTCCAACCACAATGCTATAAGGTTAGTAATGAACTACAAACAAACAAACAAAAAACTTCAAAAACTGCAAACACGTGGAGGCTAAACACTATGCTACTAAACAACCAACAGACCACTGAAGAAATCAAAGAGGAAATCAAAAAACACTTTGAGACAAATGAAAGTGAAAACACAATGATCCAAAACCTCTGGGATGCAGCAAAAGCAGTTCTAAGAGGAAAGTTTATAGTGATAGAAGCCTACCTAAGGAAACAAGAAAAATCTCAAGTAAAGAACTTAACCTTACATCTCAAGCAGCTAGAGAAAAAAGAACAAACCCCAAAGTTAGTAGAAGAAAAGAAATCATAAAGATTAGTGCAGAAATAAATGAAATAAAGATAAAAAACAATAGAAAAGATTAATGAAACTAAAAGATGGTTCTTTGATAAGACAAACAACATTAATAAACCTTTAGTCAGATGCATCAAGAATAAAAGAAGAGGTTCCAACTTAATAAAATCAGAAATAAAAAGGGAGAAGTTACAAACACCACCACAGAAATACAAGGGATAATAAGAGGCTACTATGAGCAACTATATGCCAACAAAAAGGACAACATAGAAGAAATGGAAAATTTCTTAGAAAGGTATAATTTGCCTAGACTGAACCAGTAAGAAATAGATAATATGAATAGACCAATTACCAGTACTGAAATTGAATCAGTAATTAAAAAACTCTCAGCAAACAAATGTCCAGGACTAAATGGCTTCACAGGTGAATTCTACCAAACATTTAGAGAAGAGTTAACACCTATCCTTCTGAAACTATTCCAAAAAAATTGCAGAGGAAAGAACACTTCAGAACTCATTCTATGAGGCCATCATCACCCTGATACCAAAACCAGAAAAAGATATCACACACAAAAAAGAAAATTACAGGCCAATATCACTTATGAATATAGATGCAAAAATCCTCAACAAAATACTAGCAAATCAACTCCAACAATGCATTAAAAGGATCATACACATGATCAAGTGGGATTTATCCTAGGGATGCAAGGATTGTTCAATATCTGTCCATCAATCAATGTGATATACCACATTAACAAATTGAAGAAGAACCATATGACCATATCAATAGATGCAGAAAAAGCTTTTGAAAAAGTTCAACATCCATCTATGATAAAAACTCTCCAGAAAGTGGGCACAGATGGAACATACTTCAACATAATAAAGGCCATTTATGACAAACCCACAGCTAACATCATACTTAATGGGGAAAAGCTGAAAGCATTTCCTCTAAGATCAGGAACAAGACAAGGATGCCCCTTCTCATTACTTTTATTCAACATAGTTGAATAATCACAGAAGAAAAAGAAGTAAAAGGAACCCAAATTGGAAACAAAGAAGTAAACCTGTCACTGTTTGCAGATGACATGATACTATACATAGAAAACCCTAAAGAAGTAACCAGAAAACTACTGGAACTCATCAAGGAATTTAGTAATTTGCAAGATACAAAATTAATATGCAGAAATTAGTTGCATTTCTATACACTTTTTATACACTAACAATGAAATAGCAGAAAAAGAAATTAGGGAAACAATACCATTTACCACCACACAAAAAAGAATAAAATACCTAGGAATAAACCTACCCAAGTAGGCAAAAGACCAGTACTCCAAAAACTATAAGACATTGATGAAAGAAATTGAAAACAATACAAACAAATGGAACAATATACTGTGTTCTTGGATTGGGAGAATCAATATTGTTAACATGGCCATACTATCCAAAGGAATATACAGATTCAATACATCTCTATGAAATTATCATTGATATTTTTCACAGAGCTGGAACAAAAAACTGTTAAAATTTGTATGGAAACACAAAAGACTTTGAACAGCCAAAACAATCTCAAAAAAAAAGAAAAAAAGAAAAATGGTGCAGGGGGAATCATGCTCCCTGACTTCAGACTATACTACAAAGCTACAGTAATCAAAACAATATGGTACTAGCACAAAAACAGACAGATCAAAGGAACAGGATAGAAAGTTCAGAAATAAACCCAAGCACTTACAGTCAGTTAATCTAAGACAAAGAAGGCAAGAATATACAGTGGAGGAAAGACAGACTCTTCAATAAGTGGTGCTGGGAAAACTAGACAGCTACTTGTAAAAGAATGAAATTAGAACATTCCATACACCATATACAAAAATAAACTCAAAATGGATTAAAGACTTAAATGTAAGACCAAATAGTATAAAACTCCTAGAGGAAAACATGGGCAGAACACTCTTTGACGTACATCACAGCAATATACTTTTTGAACCAGCTCCTAGAATAATGAAAGAAAAAAGCAAAGATAAATAAATGGGATCTAATTAAACTTAAAAGCTTTTGCACAGCTAAGGATACCATCAACAAAATGAAAAGACAACCTACAGAATGGGATAAAATATTTGCAAATGATGCAGCCAACAAGGGACTAGTTTCCAAAATATACAAACAGCTTATATACCTTAATATAAAAAAACAAGTAACCCAATCAAAAAATGGGCAGAAGACCTAAACAGACATCTCTCCAAAGAAGACAGACAGATGGCCAACAAGCACATGAAAAGATGCTCAACATTACTAATTGTTAGAGAAATGCAAATCAAAATTGCAATGAGACATCACCTCACACCAGCCAGAATGGGTATCATTAACAAGCCTACAAATGACAAATGCTGGAGAGGGTGTGCAACCCTCCTACACTGCTGGTGGGAATGTAAATTGGTGCAGCCACTATGGAGGACAGTATGGAGGTTCCTTAAAAAACTGAAAAATAGACTTACCATATGATCCAGCAATCCTACTCCTGGGCATATATCTAGAGGGGACCTTAATTCAAAAAGATACATGCACTCCAATGTTCATAGTAACACTATTTACAATAGCCAAGACATGGAAACCACCCAAATGTCTATCAAAAAATGACTGGATAAAGAAGATGTGGTATATGTATACGTGTATGTATGTGTGTGTGTGTGTGTGTGTGTGTGTGTGATGGTAATATTCTGTATCTTGATGGGGGTTTGAGTTACATAGGTGTATATACTTGTCAAAACTCAGCAAGTGTATATTCAATATTTTATACATAGTATGTATATTTTATCTCAAAATGTAAAATTTGTAAACAAATATTCAACTCTACTTAAGGTTATAAATGTTTAAGTATATTAAGGGGACATGTACTCACATCTGTAATGTCCTTTGAAATCTATCAAAAATAAGATTAACTGATAGATGGACAGAGGGGTAGAAAGATAGATATAGATAGGTAATAAAGCAAGTATAGTAATACTCAATGGTAGAATCTAGATGGTAGGTCCTCCAGTTTTCTTTGTAAATGCTTTCAACTTTTCTGTATTTAAAAATGTTCATAACAAATATTGTTCTAGGCAATTAAAATACAAGCATGAGCGAGGGAGTTTTCCAGTGGAGCTTATCCCAGGGAAGCGAATTTGTATTTATGTAGTTCCTACTACAATCCAGGGGCAAAGGCAGGAACAACAATTTATTTTTTATCTTCACAACAACTCTGTGTGAAGCAGCAGGCTTGAAATGAGTGGAGATGATGAATTCAGTTTTTAATATGTGTTTTATGATCCTATAAGATATTATGTGGTGATATCTAGTAGACTATTTGATATACACAGGTCAGAAGATTTGCATAAATCTGGGTTATAGTCAAATGTTGTGGTCATCATGGCTTTGGGTACCCTAGCTGTCTGGCCCCTAAGCACAATTTAACAACTTTTTTATTTTAATAGTGTTTTCATTTTTAAATAGTATCTGAAATATCTGCCCCCACTCAAATCTAGTATCCTTGCCTGCTGACCTATTTGTTATTTCATGGCAATTATAATAGGAATAGAAATTGTACTAATAAAAAGGTATAGAATAGCAATATTAAAATGTGGCAGATATAAGGATCTTAGGAATTTTCATTACACTAGAAGACTAACATTTGACAAATATATTACACTGAGGGATAGTTCTTTGGTACCTACCTGATCAAATAGAGCTCTTTATTCCACGGGTAGACATTTAAGACTGGCCCAACCCCAATCATGTGGTTGTGACATTCTCCAACATTTTCAATATATTCATGCTTCAATGGCACTTGGCTAAGGAGTTCAAATTCCTCAGGCACCTTTTGAAGTACCTGTTCTGCTGCATAGAATCCATCTACTAGCAGTGTCCTGCCACCTGTTCCTTCATGCTTAAGACAGTGAAACACTTGAATGCTAAAGAGGGGAAAAAATTAAGTTCTTCTGTTCAGTGGAGAAAAAAGAATGTATCAAAATTTTAGAAAATTTATATATGAAATGATCACTGATTCCACTTGTGTTATTTTGTCTTCATGAATAAATAAATCTCATTTCCATAATTGTTTTCCCTTCATAACCCATTGCTCTTTTTTGTGCTTTGAAATAATGCCACTATAGGTTCCTTGTAAACATATTTAACATGTATTGAAGCCTATACTTGCAAGACCCTGGGAATGCAGGCATGAATAAGATACAGTCTCTGTTTTAAAGAAGCCCATAGTCTACTAAGAAGAGATGAAGCAAATAAGTACCAATAAAATATGATAGGTAGTATAATAACTACCTACCTGTAACAAAATACAGGGGGCCATAAAGAGAGGAAATTATTCTAGTGGTGTGTTGTACAAAGAAATGTTTTAGGAGGTGGATGAGAAAGGTTTTGCTTAGTCTTAAAGAATGAGTAAGAGTTGGACAGGAATGAGATTGAGGTGAGGAGAGGGAACTACAGGCAGATAAAAAAAGTACAACCAGAGATATCAATGTAAAACAACAAAGTATATTCAAGGAATAGAGCAGAAGTTCCTGCTGGTATTGCACAAGATAACCACAGAAGGATTTTAAACTGGGATGGGAGATGAACTGGTGGGAAGCAAGAAAACAAAATATGTGGAAAACAACTTGGATAACTGAAATATTAGAGAAAAATTCTGAGGGCTTAAGCTTAGAGAAGAGTGTTATAAAAAAGAAGAAACTCGTGAGAGATAGAACAGAGGTAGAACTGGCAAAATTTGATAACTGATTAGATATGAAGGACGAAGAACAGGTGAAAATCTAGAATCACTTCAGGTTTTCACTTGGGCAACTTGACAAATAATAATGCCATTTACCAAGAGAATGTAGTGAGATGCATAATCATATGATAATAAGTGGATATGAGGAGTTGAGAAAGAGGTTCAGTTTAGGGGCATGTTGAAATAGTTGCGTTATATATGGCTGAAAATATTAGCAGGGAAAGGAAAGGCATATATTAATGGGCTGGAAAACTAAAGTCAAATTTTCAAATTAACAAAGGGAAAATACAATTAATAGTAAATTCAGAAAAAAAGTAAAATAATGAGAAGTAAACAACAAAGTAAAATAAGTAATAAACATAAATAAAGATAGAAGGAATTTTCAAGGAGAACCTAGGATAAACACAATTAAAATGAGAAATGTCAGTTCTGGATATATTGAGCTTTCTGTGAAACTTCTAGGTCAGGATTATTTAGTAGCCAGTTGAAGACGTTTGCTTTAAAAGGGAGGTAGATTTTGTAGTTCTCTACAGGTGATAGGTAAAGCCAATAGCATGGAAGAAGTCATTTGGAGAGGTAATTTCAAGTAAAAAAGAGAAATAAGGAGAAAATCTTGGTTAACAATAATATGTAGGATATGGACAAAGGAAAATAAGGCAGCACAAAGACAGAGGAAAAATGGTTATAGATATAGAAGGAAAACTAGAAAAGAAGAACTATTTAAGAAGAGGTAGTGGTTAATGGCCCCAGGGGTCAATAAGATGAAGATTGAAAGGTACACAGGGGATATGGCAATAAGTTAGCTGCTGGTGATTTTAGAAAGAGTAATTTTAATTGGGAGGGGGTTGGATAAACTAGCTGATTATAGTTTTGAAGAGTGAATGAGAAGTGAGAATTAAAAGATATTAAATGTAGATAATTATTTTGATGAGTTTAGCTCTGAAGGGGAGAAGGACTGTAACTAGAGGGAGACAGAGTCCAAGGAATTATACAAAAGTAGAGATTTAAGATATGAGAAGCTGATAGGAAGGAGTCAACAGGTATGGAAGGCTGAAGATATAGGAGAGAGAAATCCCCAAGGAGATTGAAAAGGATGAGATTGAGAGCAAAGGTAGCTTTAGAAAGGATAAGGCATATAATAATGATGATGATAATTATGACAATGGCTAAAATGATAATAATAATAGTATTTATTGAACACTTAATATGTGTCAGTAAGTATGCCAAGTGCCTTAAATATATCATGTAACTTAATCCCTAAGCAATACTAATGAATAGGTCTTATTACTTGTCTAACTTTTCAGATGAAGAAACTGAGGCACAGAGATGTTAAGTTATTTGTCCAAGATCACAAAGTTAATATATGTTTCAGCTGGGATGCAAATCCAGGTCTGGTTGATGCCATAGCCTGAACTCTTCACACTCTCACTATACTGCTAATGTACTTGGTCCTTACCATTGATTAGAAAGGGTTAAATTAAAGGCACAAACAACTGTTTATTTCTGGTAATGGTGAGGGAGAAAAGAGCTAGTCAATATTTGAACCTCAACCCTGTCCAATTGCTTCTCATCTCATTTCCTCATATTCTTCTTTCTGTATCCTGAATGAGGAAGCAGTACTGTTGGTCTTTTCATATATTGATAACATTGAGCAGGATCTCTAAAAGCTGTTTTATTCTTCCTCCTCTGACCAAACATTCTTAAGTTCCAAATCCTTAAAGGAAATCAATGTAACCACAATCAATTGTATATTATCACCCTCTCATATTATCTTTATAAATTCATAGATATACTTACTTTACTCATATATTTGTGTCTCAGGCTCATCATCTATACGCAAAAGCAAGATCAATAACAACAACAAAATTACCACAGATGTACCTCTCGTAAGTGGCAAATGGTAGGAAACTCAAGTATGTTATCTATCCATCGCTTCACGTCATTACCATTTCTTTTTTGTAGTGAGAACATTTAAAATCTACTCTCTGTTAGCTACTTGTGGTAATCATATTGCAATATATAACTGGATCAAATCAACACATTGTACACCTTATATTTACACAATGTTATAAGTCAATTATTTATCAATAAAGCTTGAAAAAGTATGGTATACATCATCTTTGGCTCAATAGCTTCCAAGTCCATGAGACAAGGTTATTTTTCATTCATTGTTCCTCTCCAACGTCTTGTAAATTGTATTCAAATTCCTCTTAATACCATACTCAAAGCAACTGTGTTTGGAACATTGACCCCTTCACAATATAATAATTAAATATAAAAAAACTGTACAGATTCCCAAACTAACAGCTAATATTTTTTCTGATAAATTGTTTGTAATTGAGAAAAAAAGTAAATTAAAGAAACTTATGATCAATTTATGTAGTAAGGTGGATTTTCAATCATTTCAAAAAATTTTATTCCTATAAGTCTAAAGAAGACTGAGCTGGGGTAGGGGGGCGGGTTTCAAAATGATCCTGTTTCTAAGGAGAAGACAAAGAACTAGTTATACAAATCATCAGCACCTGATATGATCTTGTTTCAAATAAAAGAGAAAATGATTGAGAAACCATTCAAGACAATCATATGTAACGATCTCACTCTGGAAAATTCTAATTCACCTACCCACAGGGCTCTTGAAAATAGGTAGTGTCAGTGTGCCGATCCAGAGCTAGCTTGGTGTATGCAGTGTCACCTCTGGAGAAGTCTGAAGTGAAATACCACATCCTCCCATAAATGGTTTCTCTGTCAAGTGAAATACAGGAAGATCTTTTAGCTATTTGAAATTTTCATTCTTGTCATTCAAAACTCTTTCCAACACTTTCTTTAATTATTCACAAATAACAATGATTTTTTTTTGGCTCTAGATTTCCATTATAAGGTAAAGCTAGCAGCTGAACACATCACTAGTCTTAACAATTCTGTCCCTGATTAATGTTCTAGGAAGCTGGGGCGGGGGGAGAACGGTGGAAGTATAATGTAGTCTGAAAGCTTAGGAATCATCCCACTCCATTTATGTGTCTACTTTTAACAGCTTTCACATTCAAATTTCGTTCCTGTGCTCACCTTCCTCACATATCAAAAGATGTTTTTATGTAGCTGCTTTTAGAAGTGATTAATGCAGATCTTCACCCATCTTTAAGACATAGAGGAATCATAAAAAGAGAAAAAGACCTTATGTTAGCAAGTATTTAGTGAGACTTGCTGTAACACCGTTACTGTATTTCTCCTTGAAGTATACACCATGGGTTTCGATTTTATAGTTATTTTCCTGGTAGACTCAGATCTGACTAAAGGCCATTTTAATTCTTCAGCTTGCAGAGTTCATTTTATTCTCTCAAACTTCAAAATCCAAACAGGAAATGTTCTTCCTCTTGAACTCTAATCTCTAAAGCCCTCCCATTTTATTGCAGCACAGCTCTTTTTACTTGAAAGTTCCAAAGTTCTGGAGCTGTGTTTCAAACTGAATGGTTTATAAATGTTGATTGTACACTACTAGGATAGGGCAAATGCCCCAGCATACTATCTGCTACACAATGAGCTATATCTGACTCTTATGAAGTAAAAAGAAAGTACTATTTATAACAAAGTAGATTTACATCACATTTAATACTACAGAAAATAAATCTATATACTACCTAGGAATACAGTGCAAATAATACTGTATTTAGGATCAGGAAACTTGAGCTATCTGAATCCAGGTTCTACTGCTTACCAGCAGAGCAATCCTGGGCAAACCACTTAATACATCTGAGCCTTAAATGCTTCATCAGTAGAATAGGAGGTAAAATATACACTTATCAGAATTACCATAATGACCAATGAAAATAATGGGTGTGAATATGCTGGTTAAATGTCATAGAGTACAAGGCAGTATTATTAACAACCAGTCTCTGAATAAAGCCTTATGAATCATAAAAGGTCAAAACTAGATGATCTTTAGACACCACCTTATTCAATCTTTTTATTGATCAGATGGGAAAATAGAGGCCACTGTGGGAGATGGGGACTCAGTATAGGGGTGTGTGTAATGGACTTGTCTATGTTCACACATATAATATAATAAATAACTGCTTGATGAGAGAACTCAGACCACTATCTGTTTCTCTTTATTCAGCATTAGTGTTCTTTCTAGTGTACAATGACTGAGTCTTACTTTGAACATCACTACACTTGAAAAACATAACAGTGACTTTGAAGTCTTTATCGTATTAAGATACAAGTGTCTTTGGAGATTAGAAATCTGGGCTTCAAATAAAGCACTATAAGTGAGAATCCCCCTATTCAGACCACAAAATATTCTGGATTAAAAACAAGGGTGACCGTATCTATCACATTATTTTATTCGTGTTCATGCTCTGGAAATTGATTACTGCAGATATCAGGAAACTAATGACTTACCTAATCAAGCTAATCCTTTCTGCCAACTTCTCTGTATGTTCTTGAGTGGGAGGGACATTTTCTACAAAAGCAATTCCATAGAGCAGAAAGTTCTGCAGAAAGTTCTTCAGTCCCTCATTGGTTTCTAAGAAGCTCTGGAAATCTACAGATGGAACTTGGGCTTGCTGGTAGATTTCAGCATTCCATAAAATTCTAGGCTGGATGACCTTTTGTTTCTGCCCTTCATAGCTGTTTTTCACCAGCCAATCCAAATCATATCTAGTCACATGGCCATCTGGCCCTTTGAAGGGAAAAACAAAAGGCATTAAAAATAATAATTACAAATATTTCCAATAATTTACTGGTTAAGAATGTTATTTTCACCAATTACTCAGCACAGTATTGTTTATGAAACCAAATTAAAATGAGTGCCTGCGACACTTATCAAATTAAAATGTTCCTGAGAAAAATATTTATGCATTGAGTATTAAAATTAATACATGAATTTAAGAACAAATAAATCTTCCCAGCAGATAAATAAGTTTATGAAACTATAACTGCACAGTAAAGGGCCTCTGGAACATTCATCAGGTCACCAAAGAAAATTAATTAAAAAAATCCCAGTTGATTTTTAGCTTACTCCCCTTTCTCTCCTTTGCCTCCATCACCACCTCTCATCTACATACAAACTTTTTTTCAGCTAGAAGAGACTAATCTTTATTTTATAATGGAGAAAAAGTCACTGACTCATTCAAGATCACATAGTTAATAAGTACCACAGTTGGAACTAGAACTGTGGCTTCTTGCTTCTGGCAGTTCAATACTATTCTGTGATGCCTCCTTCATCTAAATGAATTAGGGCAGTTTGGTCTAATGATAGAACATCAATACAACATGATAAAGTGACTTCAAAAGTGACTTTGCCCACTCCTCCAAAACAAAAGTAAAAAACCAGCCCTTCGAATAATTTAGAAAATCTTCAAGATAAGCAAAAGATATATCAAGAGGAGTGAAAAGCTATTATGGCTTCTTTCTACCTCTCTGTCTCTGTTTGTCTCTATTTTTCTCTCTTTCAGCTTTCCACACCTTGATAGTAAAAGTATCATAAAGAATTTGGAAAGCACAACATGTACGGGGAAATTAAAAAATCACCAATACGTATTCAACTACCCAGATGAAACCACTATTAACATCTTGGCGTCATTCCTTAGTTTGCTTCTATGCATTCTTTTACTTTATAAACATATAAAAATATATTAAAGTTTGTACCCTACCTTTGTCATTTAACATTTTATCATTAAAAATTGTCTTCAAGAATTAAGGCTTATAATTCGTAGAATATGCACTACCAAGATTTACCTAACCAATCTGTTCTCCTGGGACATGTAGTTTTATTCTTAAGTTTCTCTATTATTTAATAGTGATCATCTTCATTTATCTTTCTGATAATTTTCTTAAAACAGAAAAACAGAAGGTGGAATTGTTAAATCCAAAGATATAAACTTTTAAGTCTTCATACATACAACCAAATTACTTTCTAGAAAGTCTACCAGTTTTCATTCCCTCCAACAATATATGCGTACCTATCAAAATTGATTAGTTTTATTTTTAAATACATTTTTTTCTAATTTGGTAAATAAAATTCCTGTTATTATAATAAGTTTAATTTATTTGCTTACTCATAATGCTAATAAGCATTTGTTAGACATCTACATATTTAAAATTAAATTAAAATTTTTTTATAAACTTTTTTATTGAATTATAGTCAGTTTACAATGTTGTGTCAAATTCCAGTGTAGAGCACAATTCTTCAGTCATACATGAATATACATACATTCATTGTCACATTTTTTTCTGTGAGCTGTCACAAGATCTTGTATATATTTCCCTGTGCTATACAGTATAATCTTGTTTATCTATTCTGCATATGCCTCTCAGTATCTACAAATTTGGAAATCCCAGTCTGTCCCTTTCCACCCCCGCCCTCTTGGCAACCACAAGTTTGTATTCTATGCCTATGAGTCTGTTTCTGTTTATTTATTTATTTATTTATTTATTTATTTGTTTGTTTGTTTGTTTGTTTATTTATTTATTTTAGATTCCTCATATAAGCGATCTCATATGGTATTTTTCTTTCTCTTTCTGGCTTACTTCACTTAGAATGACATTCTCCAAGGACATTCATGTTGCTGCAAATGGCATTATCTTGTCATTTTTTATGGCTGAATAGTATTCTATTGTATAAATATACCACTTCTTCTTTATCCAGTCATCCGTTGATGGACGTTTAGGCTGTTTCCATGTCTTGGCTGTTGTAAATAGTGCTGCTATGAACATTGGGGTGCAGGTGTCATCCTGAAGTAGGGTTCCTTCTGGATATATGGCTAGGAGTGGGATTCCTGGGTCATATGGTAAGTCTATTCCTAGTCTTTTGAGGAATCTCCATACTGTTTTCCACAGTGGCTGCACCAAACTGCATTCCCACCAGCAGTGTAGGAGGGTTTCCCTTTCTCCACAGCCTCTCCAGCATTTGTCATTTGTGGACTTTTGAATGATGTCCATTCTGGCTGGTGTGAGGTGATACCTCATTGTAGTTTTGATTTGCATTTCTCTGATAATTAGTGATATTGAGCACTTTTTCATGTGCCTATTGATCATTTGTATTTCTTCCTTGGAAACTTGCTTGAAATGCAAGGGTTACCAAACTGTTGGCCTGTGGCCAAACCTGCCTGGCACTTGTTTTTGTATTACCTGTTTTATAGCACATACTGTTTATGCCTGCTTTTACCTTACTACTAAAGAACTGAATAGTTGAATAGTTGTAACAGAAGACAGTATAATCAGCAAAGCCTAAAAATCCTTATTATCTGGCTCTTTAAAGAATGTTTCCTGACTTGTGCTTTAATGATCTGTCTATTCACTTCCTTCTCACATTTCTCTATTGGAATACTGGTGCTTTTCTTACAAATTGGCACCTTATATATTAAAGGTTTTTAGTCTTTGTCATACATTTTTCAAATATTTTGTCATCAGTTGTTTCTTAATAAACCTTTCTATGGCATTGTTTTTATTGTAGAGAAATTAGTAGTCAAATGTATTGATTGTAAATATTTTTCCTTCCAATGCTTTTTTGTTATAACTTTATTTTGAAATATAGACTCATAGGAAGTTGCAAAGAAATGCATAAGGAAGTCCCATGCACCCTTCCTTGAGCCTTCTTGGATGTTAACATCTTGCACAATCAGAGTACAATATCAAAACCAAGAAAGTGGCATTGATAAAGTCCATAGAGCTTATTCAGATTTCACTAGTTATATATGTATTTATGTGTATATGTGTGTAGTTCTATGCAGTGTTATTACATGTATAACTTTCTGTAAGCACTACTACTCAAGATACTCAACTGTACCATCATGTAAGACTCCTTCATGTTACCTCTTTATAGCTACACCATTCCTCCTCTCATCCCTAACTCCAGGCAACTGCTAATTGGTTCACCATCTCTATAATTGTGTTATTTCATGAATGTTACATAAATGGAATCATGAAGGTTTGCTTTTTTCCTTCAGCATAATTCCCTTGAGGTTTTTCCAAGTTATTTTGTGTGTCAACAGTTCATTCTGTTTTTACTGTTGAGTAGTGTTTCATCATATGGATGACTTGTTTAGCCATAAACCCACTGGAGGACATTAGGGTAGTTTCCAGTTTCTGGCAGTTACAAATAGGGCTGTTGTGAACATTAATGTACAGGTATTTGTGTGAATATAAGTCTTCATTTCCCTAGAATAAATGCTCAACAATTCAACTGCTGGGTTGTATGGTAGTGCATGTTTAGTTTTTTTTTTTTAAGAAATTGACAAAGTATTTTCCAGAGTAGCTGTACCATTTTACATTCTCACCAGCAGTGATACCTGATATAATTACTGCAAAATTTTTCTAGCATTTTGTGTTGTCATTATATTTTATTTAGTCATTGTGCTAGGTATATTGTGAAATTTCACTTCTCTAATGCTGTACTATGCCGAACATCGTTGCTTGTATTTATTTGCCATTTGTATATCCTATTCAGTGAAATGTGTCTGTGTGATTTTTATCCATTTTCTAATTGGACTCTTTATTTTTCTTTTATTGAATTTTGAAAGTTATTGAGTCCTGAAGATGTTCTCCTATGATCTTTTCTAGAAGTTTTATAGCTTTATGTTTACATTTAAATCCATGCTCTATTTTGAGTTAATTTTTTTTTAAGGCATGAGACTTAGGTCGAGGTTCTTTTTAACTTTTGCCTATGGGTGTCCAATTATTCCAGCATCATTAGTTAAAAAGATTATCCTATCTTATTGAATGGCTTTTACACATTTGTCAAATATCAGTTGACCATATTTGTGCAGTGCCATTTCTGGGTTCCCTTTTCTGTTCTATTTATCTATGTGTCTATCCCTCCATCAAAAACACACTCTCTTGATTATGCAGCCTTAAAACCATGAAGTGATTCTTTAATTCTTTCCACTTCATTCTTTTTTTCAAAATTGTTTTGGTTATTTTAAGGAGTGTGCCTTTTTACTTAAATTTTAGAATAATCTTTTTGTATCTACAGAAACATCTTGCTGAGATTTTGGTAGCAATTGCATTAAAACTATAGATCAATTTGGGAGAGAACTGACATAGTTACTATGTTGAGTCTTCCAATTTATGAACATGATTTGCCTCTCCAGGTACTTAAGCCTCCTTTCATTTCTTTCATCAGCATTTTATAATTTTCATCATACATACTTTGTTAGAGTTATACATAAGTAAATTTATTTGAAGTAATTACAGATAGGCATTTTTCATTTCGATTTCTGCATGTTCATTGTAAGTATACAGAAATGTAATTGATTTTTGTGTGTTGCTCTTGTATCCTGTAACACTACTGAACTCACTTATGAGCTCTGGGATTCTTATTGTTGATTATTTAAGGTAATCAATGTAGATAATCATGCATCTGCAAATAAAGACAGCTTTATTTCTCCTTTGTAATACGTATGCATTTTATTTCTTTTTCTTGCCTTATTGTAATGACTAGAACTTCCAGAACTGTGTTAAATAAATAAGAGCGGTGAGAGTGGACATCTTTGCCATGTTCCCTATCTTCAGTCTCACCATTATGTATGATGTTAGCTGAAAAGGTACTCAACATCAAAAATCATCAGGAAAAAGGAGAAATAACTAAAAGAACACCCTATTTTGGAAAGGGGCAAACTATTTTTTGGAAAATAATTGTTCTTTAAAAGAATACCCCAAAGAATACCAAATCCCCTGTCCACTCACAAGTGAAAAAGAGTGTGGTCTCATCCAGACGAATGGTCTTTGGCTGGATACATAAATCTACACTGGCAGTATCCAGGCTGCGCTGGTGAGTCTTAGAGTTGTAGCAAGATGCTGAGCGGCAGTGGTCTCGAAGCCAGACATAATCAAAACGCATCACAGTGTTAGCATACTGCAGTTCTAAGGAAAAAGATCACATTCTTTTATATTATTTTATTTAAAAAAAGAAATAGTTATTTAGGAAAACTTTAAAAAAATCAATACCCAGAAAACTTCCTTCAAAAAGTCTTCTACGAAGAAATAAGCAAGAGTAATGAGGGGGACAGTAGCCACCTACGAGATATTAAAACATAGTATAGAACTTCTATGATTAAAACAGTGTGATGTTGGTATAGGAATAGGCAGACAAAACAACAGAAGAATAAAAAAAGTCCAAAAATAAACCTGAATGCATATAGAAATTTGGTATGTAATAAACTGGCAGGTATAATCACTGGGGAAAATATGAATTTTTAAATAAATGATGTTGTGACAACTGATAAGCATTTGGAAAAAGATAAAATTGAGTCCGTATCTCATATTGTCACCTGTTTTCCAAACTCAAAATAGATCACAGTTCTAAATTTGGAAAACAAAACCATTCAAGTATATAAAAAGAAAACATAATCCAAATGTGAACAGAGAAATATGCTCACAGATTCAAAAATGAAAAGATACAAATTCTCCCACCAATTAATACACAAAGTTCCATGTACTTCCAATCTAAATCCCAGTGAAAATTTTCATGTACTCAACAGGCTAATTTCAAGATTCATATTCAGAATTAATAAAGTAACAATTCTGTTCATTTAAAAAACTTTTTTCACTTGTTATTCTAGTTTTTAATTATTTTATTTTTGAGGGGAGGTAATTAAGTTTACTTATTTTTGGAGGAGATACTGGGGATTGAACCCAGGACCTTGTGCATGCTAAGCATGTGCTCTACCACCTGAGTTATATCCTCTCTTAATAAAGTAACAGTTCTGAAAAAGAAAAAGAAAGGTATGAGGGGGTTGTCTTACCAGATGTAAAAATATAAACTGGTAAAACCACATTGAATGGCAATCTAGAAGTTTCTATGAAAATAATAAAAAAATGTACATTTGTTGCTTGACTCATAAATTCGTCTCTCAGTACTTACCTTATAGAAACTGTCACACATGAGGTGGTATGCCCAGGGACATTCATAATAGTTTTGTTTATAGTAGCAAAAAATCAGAAAATAAGACTAAATATCTATCAATGGGAGAAGTAGAGTAATGGCCGAATAAACTGTGGTACATCTACAGTTTAAAAATGCAGTATTCCTGTACTCCTCATATTGGATTTGTATGATATTATCATTCTCACTTTAAGGAAAAGGAAACTAAAGCTCAGAGATGTTAAATAAATTTGTAAGGTCATATAATCATTAGGTAGTAGAGCTAGGACATGAACTCAATTCTCCCACCCCATAGTCCTAAACTAGTTTTTCTCAAAGTGTAATCTTGGGAATCTCTGAGGGTGAAACTTCTGGAAAGGCAGAGTACAGAGCTTGGCAAATCCTCTCTCCCAATAACAATGATAAAACTGGACAAAATGATCAATACCAACAATTTTAGGACCCTGGAAACAGACCAAAGGCATACAACAAATTAAGAAGCATTGATTCAAGAAAAACTATTGAAACTTGAGTAAGAACAGTGGGAATTCATGTGTTTAGGTTGAGGTGCTCCTGCTCCCTACTCTAACCCTGAAAAGATCTATAAGCAGTAGTTTTACCAGGGCAGGCAAGCCAAGAAAACTAGAAGTTTTGCTGCTGAAGGGGATTAACCTGATTTGAAGCAGAACACATAAAAACTCCATGCCCCAGGTGTTGAAAACAATCAAGGAAGGCATACTGGTTGGGGCAAGCAACAGGCCAGCAGAACACCCAGAAATCTATCAGGGGTATCAAGGAAGTGAGAAAGCTATAATGGGCCTTGGAAAGCCCCCTCACATCCCTAGCGTTTGCTAAGACTGTGCACACATGCAGGAGTGTGCACACTCAGGAGACCAGAAAGGGTCCTAGTTAACTTCACATCACTGGAGGAATGGCAGAAAGTGAAAACCAGGTCACACTTATAAACAGACTAAACTTTGTGTGCTCCAGTCCATGCACAGAACCATTGGCAAAGGGTGGAAGCCTTACTGGCTTAAGGTTTTTGTTTTTTTGTAGTTTTAGCTCATACATTAGGTGATCCATTTCAAGTTAATTTTTATATATGCTGTGAGGTAGGGATCCAGCTTCATTCTTCTGCATATGGATATCCAGTTGTCTGAGTATCATTTATTGGAGAGATTATTCTTTTATTGAATGATTTTGGCACCACTGTTGAAAATCCATTGGCTGTAGACTGGTTTATTCCTTTTTTAATTTATTTTTTATAGAGTTTACAATGCTGTGTCACTTTCTGGCATATAGCATAATTTTTCAGTCATACATGAATATACATATACTCATTTTCATATTCTTTTTTCCCGTAAGCTACCACAAGAACCTGTATGTATTTCCTTGTGCTGTACAGTATAAACTTGTTTTTCTATTCTATATATACCTGCCAGTATCTACCAGTCTCGAATTCCCAGTCTGTCCCTTCCCACTCACCTCCCCCCAGAAAACCACAAGTTTGTATTCTATGTCTATGAGTCTGTTTCTGTTTTATATTTAAGTTCATTTATCTTCTTTTTTTTTAGATTCCACATATCAGTGATCTCATATGGTATTTTTCTTTCTCTTTCTGGCTTACTTCACTTAGAATGACATTCTCCAAGGACATTCATGTTGCTGCAAATGGCATTATCTTGTCATTTTTATGGCTGAATAGTATTCCATTGTATAAATATACCACTTCTTCTTTATCCAGTCATCCGTTGATGGACATTTAGGCTGTTTCCATGTCTTGGCTGTTGTAAATAGTGCTGCTATGAACATTGGGGTGCAGGTGTCATCCTGAAGTAGGGTTCCTTCTGGATATATGGCTAGGAGTGGGATTCCTGGGTCATATGGTAAGTCTATTCCTAGTCTTTTGAGGAATCTCCATACTGTTTTCCACAGTGGCTGCACCAAACTGCATTCCCACCAGCAGTGTAGGAGGGTTCCCCTTTCTCCACAGCCTCTCCAGCATTTGTCATTTGTGGATTTTTGAATGATGTCCATTCTGGCTGGTGTGAGGTGATACCTCATTGCAGCTTTGATTTGCATTTCTCTGATAATTAGTGATATTGAGCATTTTTTCATGTGCCTATTGATCATTTGCATTTCTTCCTTGGAGAATTTCTTGTTTAGGTCTTCTGCCCATTTTTGGATTGGGTTGTTTGTTTTCTTTTTATTAAGTCGTATGAGCTGCTTATATATTCTGGAGATCAAGCCTTTGTTGGTTTCATCATTTGCAAAAATTTTCTCCCATTCTGCAGTTTGTGATTTTGTTTTGCTTATGGTTTCCTTTGCTGTACAAAAGCTTGTAAGTTTAATTAAGTCCAATTTCTTTAATTTTGCTTTTATTTCTATTACTTGGGTAGACTGCCCTAGGAGAACATTGCTGAGATGTTAGACTGGTTTATTGCTGGACTCTCAATTTTATTCTATTGGTCTATGTCTAGTCTTTTGCCAGTATGACATTGACTTTTTTTTTAATTGAAGTATCGTTGATTTACAAAGTTGTGTTAGTTTCAGGTATACAGTAAAGTGATATATATACATAAAGAATCTGACAAAGAATATATATATTCTTTTTCCATTATAGGTTATTACAAGATATTGAATATAGTTCCCATTACTATGCAGTAGGTCCTTGTAGTTTATTTTATATATAATATTTTGTTTCTGTTAATCTCAAACTCCTAATTTATCCCTTCCCTCCACCCCTTTACCCTCTGGTAATCATAGTTTGTTTTCTATGCGTTTTTACAGTTTGTAAATATGTTCATTTGTATCAATTTTTATGAGTCCACATATAAGTGATATCATATGATATTTGCCTTTCTCTGTCTGACTTACTTTACTTAGTAAGTTTCATTCTTTTTTCCATAGGTTATCTTTTCATTTTGTTTATAGTTTCCTTTTCTTTGCAAAAACTTTTTAATTTTAATTAGATCCCATTGGTTTCTTTTTGCTTTTGTTTCCATTACTCTAGGAGATGGATCCAAAAAAAATTGCAATTTATGTCAAAGAATGTTCTACTATGTTTTTCTATAGGAGTTTTATGGTTAACCCATTTTGAGTTTATTTTTGTATATGGTGTTAGAGAATGTTCTAATTTCAGTCTTTTACAGGTTTATGTCCAGGTTTCCCAGCACCACTTATTGAAGAGATTGGGGCCTAATTAAACTTATAAGCTTTTGCACAGCAAAGGAAACTGTAAGTAAAACCAAAGGGCAACCAATGGAATGGGAGAAAATATTTGCAAAAGATTAGACTGACAAGGGCTTAATTTCCAGAACATGTAAACAGCTCATACAACTTAATAAGAAAAACCAAACAACCCAAACCAAAAATGGGCAAAAGACCTAAACAAGCAATTCTCCAATGAAGACATACAAATGGTAAATAGACAAATGAAAAAAATGCTAAATATCACTAATTACCCAAAAAATGCAAATCAAAAGTACATCACACCAGTCAGAATGGCCATCATTCAAAAGTCCACAGATGGTAAATGCTGGAGAGGCTGTGGAGAAAAGGGAATCCTTCTAAACTGTTGGTGGGAATGTAGTTTGGTGCAGCTGTTAT